GAGTGTCACTTCTCTACCAGCTGGAGCTTAACAGTGATTCCATGCAGCTGTTTGCTGTGGCTGTATATATTTCCTGATTAGTTTGCAAGCTCTCATCTTCAGAGGGAAGTGAGGAACCTAACCCTGTGAAGAATCTGTGTTTTGCTGTATGTTAACATGGTACAACTGAGACAACATTGTGAACGCTTGTAAGTTTTTTTTCTTGCTGATCCTCTCAGTGCTTGTCAGTTCTGTTCTTAAGCAGAATCTGAATATTATCAATTGTGAGGAAATCAAGCATGATTTACTTATACTTGTTAACAATCCCCTTAATTTCTGAAAGGACTCGTTATGACATCTTTATATTTCTATAGTAACTTCCATTTTACAGAAGGCAGGATAGATTTGTACCTTGCAGGCTAGGAACAAACATTGCATTTGTCCCTGGACAACGTGTGCATGTGTATGTTCCCAGAACAGAAATATCTTGGAATCGGCACATACACAAATCACTTTTCTAATCAGGGTTTAGTGAGCAGCTGCATGTACTGCTGCTTTTCTGCCATTGATTCAGTGATGCAATACTGGGGTAGCCACTTAGACTAGGGATGGACAAAAGATGGCCTGTGAGCCAGATTCAGCCTGCCAGGCCATTCTATCTAGCCCGCAAGGCCCCTAAAAAATTTAGAAAATAAATACTAATCTGCACCTGGCTGCATGTCAAAGATGACAGGAGCCAGGGGCAGTAGGACCCAGGGGAAGCCGCCAGCAGGATAAAGCAGCTGTAGAAGCAAGGCCCATCCAGCCCTGCCCCACCCCCTGCCCTCAGCCAGAAGCCACATGCCAAGCAGAGGCTTCTGGCCTGGGACTGTGGGGCTGTTCCTGCCTCCCTGTGCCAGAGGGAAAATCAGATAAGTGGGGGGGGGGCGCAGGGAGGAGGCAGGGGAGGACCACAGGCAATCACCTCAGTCTTCAGGGTCAGGCCAAGCCAGCTGCAGTCCCATCCTGCAGCCGGAAACCACATGGTGCCGGAGTGGTCAGTGTGGGGTGGAGAGGAGCTGCGGCAGCCACGGGCAGGGAAGTGTTAAAAGCGGCAGCAGGCGGGGAGGAAGGGGCAGCAAGTGGGTGTGGGCCCACTCTGCCTGCTGATGCAGCTTGGCCCAGCTCCATAGAGCCCCTTTGGCCTGTGCCCTGTGCTCCTGCAGTCTGCTCTGGTCCCCACCGGTGCTGGCCCTGGCATACCGCACGGGACCCGCACTCCCAGTGGGCTGTTGCTGAGCTCCCACCCATGCACCTGCTCGCTCCCACTTGCCCTCCCCACTGCCGCAGCCATTTGCCTGCTGCTGCCACTGCTCCCCTCCACCCCCTAGCCAGGCTAGTCTAGTTCCTGTTGTGTCCTACAGTCTCTGCCCTGCAGCTGAGATGTGGTGACAGAGTGGTGAGCAGGGGAAGGAGGATGGGGAAGCGGCAGAAGGGCAGTGGTGGCAGACAGGAGAAGTGGCAGCACAGAGCCGCACCAGTGCTTCAGGAGCAGGAGCATAGAGCCTGGTCTTGGAGGAGTGCTGCGGGGCACTCTTCCTGCCGCTGGAAGGCTATGGGCAAATCCTCCCCCTCTACACATGCCACAACCCTCCCCAGCCACCCGTTGTCCACACACTCGCAGCCCCCAACAAACCCCATACCCACCCACACCACATATCCACACATACTCCCTCATGCTCCCTCACCCCACATACATACCCCATGCCTATCCATCCTCCACAAACTGCGCACACGCCCACAACCTCCCCCACACTCCACAAACCTATACCCACCCACCCACACCCCCTAACAATATATAAGACTAAGACTTCATTTTAAGCTATTTTGCAATCCCCTCTTTGTACACTACACAAACACACGTAAATTAGGACCAAAATATTTTTTTTAACCAAATTAACGAATGTTGCAATAGATGTTTGATTTTTAGAATATAACTTGGTATTTTTCTGGTTCTGAGATGGCAAACCCTTGCTGAAAGGAGTACTTTTTTTTGTGGGGGGGGGGGCAATGAGAGGGACTTCCAGTGGCAAAGGTGAGGGGTTAGGAGGTGGGAATTCTGATCCCAAGATGGTGACCAGAGGGTGGGGCACCTGCCAAGGGGCAGAGCTACCCTTGCGGCCCTCAACAGCTTGCCAAAACTCAGTAAGCAGCCCTCTGCCTAAAATAATTGCCTACCTCCTTCGTAATGTCCTGGGATAAACTGTTAGTACTTCTTATCCTGTTAGTACTTATGTACCTTTTTAGGATTTATCCTGGGATAACGGACAAGGACATCTAAACCAGGGGTGCTCAACCTTTTGGTGCAATTGGCTGGATGAGTGGTGTGGGACTCATCAGCAGGCTAGATCAGACCCCATGCACTGGGGTTGGGCTGCGTGCTGCTGGATGGGGCTCCGCACCTTCTCCCTCAGCCCCTCTCCACAGAATTGGACTCAATGCCACTTTCCTGGACCTCCTTCCCACCTCCCTCATCCGTGTACTACCTCCCTTGGCTCAGTGCTATCCATGGCACCTACTTTAGCCCCTCCCTTGGCTCCATACTGCTAATGCTGCCACTCCGGAGCTCCATGCCACCTCACTTAGCTCTGCTTTGTGTACTTGGAGCTCTGTGCTGCCTGCATTGTCCCCCTCAGCTCCTTGTCATTCACACATCTCTGGGGCTCTGCTCCACACCTGCCTGCCTCCCTCTGTTCCATGCTGCCTCCCTCAGCTTAGTGCCACTTCCGTGGGGCTCCACAGTACCTCCCTGGGGTCCTGTGCCAACAGATCTGGGCCCTACGCTTCCTCTGCTTGGTTCTGTGCTGCAAGATCAGGCCCCACACTTCCTCCAGCTGGTCCCTGCATGGCTCAATGGGATCCTGGACCACGTCTGCATGCTGATCCAGCATGCTATCCAGTGTGTGAGCCTCCCATTGGGCTGGAAATTTGTCAGCAGTGGAGCAGCAGCTGCTGTCACTGCTTCCTCACTGCCAAATTTTCAGACCTTTGGTGACCCCTGCTAGCCTGATGGCGTGGCTCCACAGGCTGGATCTGGCCCACAGGCTGGAGGTTGAGCAGCCTGGTCTAAATGATTACACTTTGTCCCAGGATGAAATGGTTTATGCTGGGACAAATGCAGTGGTTTTTTTGTAGGCCTAGACTAACTAAGTCATAGCTACATAAGCTTTCATAAGGAGTGGTTTACTTCACCAGATGCTGTTTTGCATTTTACATGCATTCCTTTGTACGTGGATTTTCCATTTCATCTGAAAAAGGGCATCAAACAGTTTGAAATACTGGGGAATCCACCTTTTTCTTCTTACCTGCTTATCACTTTCTATTACCATAGAAGTTCTTCTTTAGAGGAGAAGGAAGTGGCTTGGAGAAACAAGCAAAGTTTTAACTGAAACCCTCTTTCTTACTTGGTGCTACATGATGATTGTACTGATAGGCTGATCTACTGCTGTGACTAACTCTGATACCAGTATTCTTTTGGTTATTAATGCCTCCTCATTCTGGGGAGTTCTGGCACTATAAAGATGATGACCAAAGAGATATTCTTATCACAGAATAAAACTTCTAAATGTTCCTGCTAGTCTTTTATTTATTAGGAGTTCTCTAGGTACAATAAGATTTGGGGTGGGGGGGAAAACCCAGACCCAATCTTAATACTGTTGCTGATAAAGCCATAGTTGAAGGAGCTGTCATGGAAATTGTTGCCTTTGTATAATATTCAGCTACCAGCCCTGTGATTGCATTGCTTAGAAATGTGCAATAGTAGTTGCCTATTAACAGATATGGTAAGTAACAGAAGTCAGTCTGTCTTGTAAAAATTCCCTTATGTCAAAT